TCATGTGATGGGGAACTGGTAGGACAGGCCCTCGATCATGTGATCATGTGATGGGGAACTGGTAGGACAGGCCCTCGATCATGTGATCATGTGATGGGGAACTGGTAGGACTGGCCCTCGATCATGTGCTCATGTGATGGGGAACTGGTAGGACTGGCCCTCGATCATGTGCTCATGTGATGGGGAACTGGTAGGACTGGCCCTCGATCATGTGATCGGTAACTGGTAGGACTGGCCCTCGATCATGTGATGGGGAACTGGTAGGACAGGCCCTCGATCATGTGATCATGTGATGGGGAACTGGTAGGACTGGCCCTCGATCATGTGCTCATGTGATGGGGAACTGGTAGGACTGGCCCTCGATCATGTGATCATGTGATAGGGAACTGGTAGGACAGGCCCTCGATCATGTGCTCATGTGATGGGGAACTGGTAGGACGGGCCCTCGATCATGTGATGGGGAACTGGTAGGACAGGCCCTCGATCATGTGATCATGTGATGGGAAACTGGTAGGACAGGCCCTCGATCATGTGATGGGGAACTGGTAGGACAGGCCCTCGATCATGTGATAGGGAACTGGTAGGACAGGCCCTCGATCATGTGATCATGTGATGGGGAACTGGTAGGACTGGCCCTCGATCATGTGATCATGTGATCGGTAACTGGTAGGACAGGCCCTCGATCCTGTGATGGGGAACTGGTAGGACTGGCCTTCGATCATGTGATCATGTGATGGGGAACTGGTAGGACTGGCCCTCGATCATGTGATCATGTGATCGGTAACTGGTAGGACAGGCCCTCGATCCTGTGATCACCGTGACATCTAATCACCGTGATCACATGATCGGAAAGCCCATGAAATCGACAGGCGTGAAGATCATTCTGTGACCGGGAGCCATTGGGCACAGTGCTAGGGGCGCACGATTGAGCATGCACCCAGCAAAACATACGTGGCAGCATGGAATAAGGCCCCGCCCCCGAGCTTACTCCGTCCATGTACAAACAGTACACAAATCACGATCAGAAAGCACAAAAAAGGGGAACACACAAATGCAATGAAGACAAAATAAAATAAACTACCTTAAACTACATTCTTCCCACCCCCCCCCCCCCCCACACAACCACACCCTCCTCAAAAACAAAAAAATCA